ACAATATGGTCTTCCTTTAATCTCTTCCTTAGTAGCTAACCTTTGCCCTTTTGGAATTCGAATCTGGCCGTCAGTTAGCAAAATATCAAAAATTTCATCAGCCTTTGAATTGTCAAATGTAGGTTGCTCTTTCCCTTTAGTTCATGGTACTGGCTTTAATTTAGAGCATACATAAGACTTTCCTGAAATGATCTCAGCCGCCATTTCTTCTGTCTGATCATAATCAAAGTCGTATGCTTCTTTTTCCATACTCGCCATATGCTGAACTTTATTACGCCTGAAATTCTGATCATTTTCTCTGAAAAGAGACTCTAAACGTCCAGCCTTGGAAGCGAGACTTGCCAAATCTTCCACATCATGAGCAGTGAGTGCCTCCCTTAGGCGGCCATGCATATTCCTGACCACTAAATTGATCATTTCTTTTTCATTGATTATAGTAGGACAACGTCCTTTCATCAAGCGCACTCTTTCAATAAACTGTGAGGCTGACTCTTCTGGATATTGCTTAAATTCCAATAAATCGGTCAGAGAAACAGTTGGTAAATGATTGAAAAATGTAGCATGGAACGCCATTTCCAAACCTTCCCAAGTTTGTATTTGCCCAGGTGGCAAGTTTACGAACCATGAGAAAGTTGTTCTGGTGAGAGATAACCCAAATAACTGCAGTTTATAAAAAGGATTATTTCCAACTTCCTCCAACTTCCCACATGCTCTATGGTGGAGGATCCGTCTTCCCCTGAAAAGGCATGGAAATCAGGTGGTCGATAATTCCTTGGAAGTGGATAGTCATTAATGATCCATTCGGGGAAAGGCCTTTGATAAGCAGGGCAATTGGCCATCTGAGGATTCAGGCCGAAATGCACTCTCAACACTTGCGCAATCTCTTCAGGATCACATGAGGGTGTTGATGATCAGGGATGAAGATGGGATCTTGCACATGTGCTCCTTGCCTCTATTCCCTGACAACGTTTGGCTGCAGATTGTCAATTCTTGGCCCCAAATGAACATTATTAGGGAAAGTTATAGGAGTCTTTCCCCTATCTGTTCGGTTGAACGTTGTGGGGCTTGGAAGTGTGCTGTCAACGTATGATGGCCCTGCGAAATTTGCTTGCATTCTTGACGGTGATATTCCTGGCGGCGTCTGAGTGAGTTGAAGAGTAACCCTTGATAAAGTTTGATCTAACATGTTCTACATGAGATTTTGTTGCTTGCGCAACATGATATTCTGTTGCTCGCGCAACATATTCTGCATAGCCGAAGTTTGTTGATTGTTCAATTGTTGAACATAAGACAACCAATCGGTAGGTGGTTGGGGGATCTCCCCTGGATTTGGCATGACGGGTGGTGAAATATTTTCTCCCACCGGTGCTGATGATGATTGAGGTTGTGTGCCTGCCATACTGAGTTTTCTGATGATTCGGCCGGACCTCAGTCGTATGAAATTCTCTGTTGATGTAGGATCAGCAATCTTGCCTTTCTCCTACTCTGGTCGCCAATTTGTTGATGTATTTTTTCAACAATAAAAAGTAAAATCTGAAAAATAGGAAATTATCTTTGAATTTGATATATTTAGCGCCTGAGATTAGGAATCTCTAAACAATGTACGGTACAAAAAATAAACTGGAAAATAAAAGACTGAAAATTTAAATGATGATCCCCGAATCAATGACTTTGTTGTCGTTTGGAGATGATTGAAGATATTTTGTCAGTTGCAAATCTCAATCCTTAAATACTCTTCAAAAACGGTACTTGGAACCGTCGCCTGAACGGTTAAAACGCCTCATCTCAATCGTTCGCTAAACCCTCTTTTGCTGACACGTGCTCTCAGCCGACCGAGCTCTTATTCTCACTTGCTTTCCGCGACATCCGACCTCCACAACAACCAACAATTCGTTCATCCAACTGTGAATCAACCGACTTACCTATCTGCCCACAAACCAACCGACTTGTTGGCCCGACCACAGACCTTTCGACTTGTAGGTCCAGCCGCAAACCTCCCGCCTTGCAAACCATCGGACTTGTTGGTCCGACCACAGACCTTCCGACTTGCATACCATCCTACCGGCTGACCAACCGACTTGTTGGCCCGACCACAGACCTTCCGACTTGTTGGTCCAGCCGCAAACCTCCCGACGTGCAGACCATCCGACTTGTTGGTCCAGCCGCAAACCTCCCGACTTGCAGATCCTTCGAGTTGTTGATCCGACCACAGACCTCCCGACCTGCATACCATCCGACACGCTGACCAACCGACCTGTAAACTGTCCGACCTGTGGATTTTTCGACCTGCGGACCTTCCGACCTGCAAACTGTCTGACCTGCGGACTTTCCGACCTGCGGACCTTCCGACCTGCGGATCTTCCGACCTTCAAACTGTCCGACCTGCGGACTTTCCGACCTACGGACCTTCCAACACTACTAAAAGATTGACTTTTTGTAGCGAGTATTTTGTCCGTCAAAATAAGTCTGCTACAAAAAGTGGCTTTTGTTACAAAATTTATCGGAATAAAAAGTTTAATGGTTGGTCAACCTTTTTTTTGTATTTATTTCGATAATTTATCTGTAATAAATACATTTTCGACGGGATGTCGTCCTATATAAATTTGTTACGAAATTCAAACCGTAACAAATATCTAAATGTTGAAAATTTCTGTATATATATAAAATCTATATAGAATTATTTTAAAATTTTAAAAAAACTTAGTTTTTTCGGTAATTTATTCGTAACAATTACACATTTTGGATGAGATGTTATCATATACCTATTTGTTATGCATTTCAAGCCGTAACAAATAAGTTAATATTAAAATTTTCTATTTAAATAAAAAAAATCAATATAAAATTATTTTAAAATTTAAAAAAATATTTATTTCGATAATATATCAGTAGCAATTACATATAAGGTAAGATGTAATATATATATACTTTTTGCAAATTTAATCGGTAACAAAAATTTTAATATTATAATTATAAAAAAATAATTATATACAATTATTTCAAATTTATTTTTATAATTGAAACTAATTAATTTATTATACTTTATATTTTCATTGCTAATTATAAATTAATTGATAGAAATAATAAAAATATCTTCAATTTCTTCTAATTATTGTTTATTTTTCTATTAATATATAATAATTTAAATTAAAGATAAAAATAAAATAAACAAAACCTGATATAAACATCAAACCCTAGCCGCCGCTTGCCTTCTTCTTCCTCTTACTTTTTCTTCTTCATTTCCATTTTTTCTTGTTTCTCCTTCTTCGTCCTCCCCTTCTTTGTTTTCTTCTTCCGCCTTTTATTCCTCATTTCCTTTCTTTCTTCGTTTACTTCTTTTCTTTGTTTCATTTTTCTTCTTCTCTAGAGTAGCTGTTGTCCGCCTGTTCCGTTCGTGGTCGCCGATTGATGTCGGAGATGAAAACCGAAGACACCATTGTCACCGATAGGAGCTTTCCGGCAAAAGAAAGAAGGATAAGTTGTTCTTACCGTGTTCTTGATTTTATTTCCTTTTGTGTTTTGCTTCCTTGGAGTAGCAACAAATGCTTTGTTGATATCTAGTTACAAATCTCTTGTTTTGAAAATTATTTAATTATATGTTGTGTTGCTACTTTGGGTTATTCTGATTTTATGCAAAAAATATGTTATAGGTTAAAATTGAAAATTGAAAAAATTCTATTAGTTGAGCTGAATTCCAAGATCCAATCACACTTATATGGTTGTGTAATGTGAGATATTTGTGGAGAAAACTCTGAGATGGGGATTGTGTATGACAATCTAAGCATTAACATTTGAGTCACTTCTAGGAGAATAACATTAAACACTGCAGAAATGTAGTTGGTTCCGTAAGTAACATATACTTGCATTATAATTTTCTGCGATTGATTCGTGTATGTAAATGTATGGAATAAAAGATTCATTGGAGTTGTGCCGATCTCACCATGCCTCACCTTGAAGTCTTCACTACTTCTAAATGGAAGTATTTATCCTTGCTAATATTATAATATGATACCATGTTTTTTCAAATAATGTATCTTATATTAATAAATCACTGCGGGATTAGATTATTGCAGGCGAATCTTTTATAGCCACTTAAAGACATTGAAACCATAAATGCCAACAAAATTGTACTACACCCCGGAGAATTGCTCTTATGAACGATCTGATGTTTTAAATAGTTAAGTTGCTATTATTAGTTGTTAGAATGCATTTGTAATTATGTTAGGATTTTCTGTACTTGAGCATGCTTTAGTTTCTACCGTCATTAGCTAAATAGAGTTGAATTGGATAACATGCTCAGGCACAATTGTTCATCTTATCAGTTTAGTTTTAAATTTTTTGGTGATATACAATAATGGTTGCATTAATCCTTGGTGAAAGTTAATTGGAGGATGAGTTGATGAGCAATGAACAATTTTTTTTTGACTTGTCTCAGGCTCTTCAGAAGTTCCCAAAATAAACTGGTGAATGTTGAATGTAAATAATGGGGAAAAGACTTTCTATGTCCCCCATGATTCACTCTGATAAAGTACTCTTGACACTTCTGCTTTAAGCAAAAGAAAGTTACTAATGGAGTCTTGGCCCTTGATAATTCCAGAAAGAGACGAATCTTGATAAAACTGCCTTAGATATTTTACCATTATTTTCAAAGGTACATCAATGTAATATTTTTTTGTCTAAGTTGTATGTTTTCTTTGTATTCTTGAATTTCGGTTTAGATGACATTAATGTGATAGGAGATGATGCATCTGAGTTAAAGCGGCTGAAAATTTGCAATGCTTGCTAAATTCATTTTTTTTGATATGCCCTAAACTATATATTGGTTGATGTTGGAATTAGCTTTAGCTCTACCCATGTGCTGATTTTTTTTTTCTCTGTTAAATAGCCTTAGAAGTAGGAAGTCAGGCAGAAGAACAGTGAGAACAAAATGGGGTATCACCATCAGTTTCGAGATAAAGGAAAAGCTAAGGTGGAGGATGAATCAAAGGATAAAAATAAATAGTGGCAAATATTCAGGTCTGGGCTATCGTATAAGGGGATTTCGATTAAAGAACTGAGTCAAGAGAGGTTTCAACAATCGGGGGTTGTTTGTCGACGTTGTGGAACAAGTCATTCAGGTACCCGTTGTGATAAAGTTCCATTAACACGTTTTAAGTGTGGTGGTAGTGGTCATATTGTTAGGTTATACCTTAGTGTGGTAACTGCAAGGGAGTTTGCAGAACCGAGATTTCGGCCATGGCAATAGCCATCTTCGCAGTCACAGGGGAGAGGATTAGGACCATCATGGCGAGATGGTCGAAGTCAGTCACGTTCATCATCTAGGCAGCCAAGCAGAGGACCTAACCAGCGTGGCAGAATAAATGTTGTTACCCAAACAGAGGCTGATCATCACTTAGGTGAGGTTCTAACGGGTAGATTTATTGTTTGCAGTTTGTCAGCTCTTGTGTTATTTGATTCGGGTGCAACGTTCTCGTTCATATCTAAACGTTTGGTTAAAAGATTGGGTCTGAATTCATCGGTAGAAGTGGTAGTGGAATTTTTACTTCCATCAAGAGAAGTATTAGAGTGCCGAGAATTTTATATACAAATTCCGGTTAGTATTGGGGGAGTTGATTTTGCTAATAACTTGTTGAGTGTATATATATATTGTTGTCGAGTTTGATATCTTTATTGCATCATTTCACTATTGGCATGTAGGGGTGGAAATAGGCCAGGCCAGGCCAGGCTTTGGTTAAATAGGCTTGGCCTGTCTTAAAAAGATATGGCCTGAGCCTGGCCTACCAGCCTGAAAAAAAATATTTTTAAAGCCTGAGCCTGGCCTGGCCTATGAGCCTGTTTAAAAGGCTACATAATAATTTATTATTATTATTATTTTTTTTTTTTTTGTAAATTTCGTACTATAAATAAAAAATAAAACAGATACAATTATTTATATTATATATAAAAAAATAAAAAATTCTGTTTTTTAATGACAAAAATAATCATTTTTATTGCCATATAAAAATACAATATATTATACTAATAATTTGCAAAAAAACGTATATTACAATTCATTCAAATATATATATAATTATTGGGAATAAGTCTTGCAAACTCCAGACAAAAGCTGATAGAAATTACTGCATAATGACATTAAAAAAAAAACAGTTTACATCAATCTATTGTCATTAAGCTGATTGTTCTAACAAAGAAATAAGCAACGCTAACTCAGAAGCAATATTAAAAAATTCGACAAAAATATTTAGAAATTAATAACATAGTTTTTCAAGTTCACGTCACCCACAGGCCACAAGCCACAAGAATTGCAAATTCCCCCAAAGTTTCTGAAACCATTAAATCTGTTCAAGTACAAAAGTTGATCAAATTAGTATTATATCTGAAATTTCTTCCTTCTATATATAAATTACGCAAAGCATCAAAAAATTATATTAGAACAAAAAGAAAAAAGGAATATCTTACTTACCAATACAATAAAAGTTTCAAGAGAAAAATAGCAAATAGATCAATAATATCTTCTGGACATTAGCATTTCCACTCCTAAAATCAAAATTTAAAATTTCAGCACCTGCAAACCTATCCAAATATTTTAAAAAAAATAAATAAATAATTGTAATATCAAAACAACCACCTGCAAACCTATCTAAATATTTCAAACAATACATCCTGCAACAAATTTCAGAAAATCAAAGTTGAATCCTCCCAAAATACATCATGCAACAACAATATCTTACTAAAAAAATCAGATTTTCAAACAATTAATCTGTATAAAAAATTTCAGAAAATATTATAAATTTAAAACGTACCGCAACCAAAGTATTAAAGAACTTCTTTAATCTATAAGCTTATCTCCTTCAAAGACTCATTCACCTTCAAATGAGAGAAATATTTTTATTAGAAAAAAATATATTGTGGGTGATGAATAAGATAAAGAAAAGACAGTTAATAATAAAATTTACCTTCTTTTTTTTCAAGTTGTATTTATGTCGAAGCCAATCTCCTCCACAAATTAGTGTCTCAATAGATTCTTCATTCAATCTTGAACGATATTCATCTATAATTCTACCTCCAGCACTAAATGTAGACTCTGAAGCTACCGTTGATATTGGAATCGCAAGTACATCAGCAGCCATCTTCGATAAAACTTTATATTTCATGCTGTTGTTCCTCCACCACTCCAAGGCACAAAATGAAGACATATTTCCATCAGGAATATAAACACTGTCCTCGAGATAGGCATCCAATTCAGATTTTGATACAGGAATTGCTTCTTTTGCTCTTACAAGACTCATAATTTGATCAAACCCAGTAACTATCGCAGATTCAGATTGGGTGGTGGCAGAGGAGATGTTAGCCATATTGCACTGACTTGAGGATGATTCTTCAACACTTAAGGCCACATAATCATTATATAGTTGTTGCAGTGAAGCACGCACTTTGTTCACATACTCGGCAGCAACTTCTTCAGACTTGTATATCATTGGAAAACATATTTCAACACCATGAAATTTAACTCTCGGATCCAATACATTTGCAACAGCCATCAATAGATTGCACTCACCCCAATATTTATCAAACTTTTCTTTCATTTGCGTTGCCATTTGTATCATAAAAAGATCATCATCCTTTGTCGCATCATCAATTACTTGCTTCACTTTCCAGACCTCTGAAAGATACAAGTTGGCAGTAGGATATTCACTTCCAGATATTAAATTGGTAGCTAAGTTGAAAACCTCTAAAAGTTTACAAACTTTCTCGACTTTCTCCCAATCTTCATTTGAAGGTGCAAATGTATAATGAGGTTCTCTTTCTTGGTATTCTGAGAAGACAATCTTGAATTTTAAAGCAGCGGCTAACATGTGATATGTAGAATTCCACCTTGTTGGACAATCAATTATCAACTTCCTTTCTTTTAGATGCTTTTGTTCAACTACTTCACCAAAACTCTTCAATCTTGAATCATTGAAGTTTACATACTTCACACTTTCACGAACATTATGGATGATATCTTTGATTCGACTAAGCCCATCTTGCACCAAAAGATTCAATATGTGTGCACAACATCTAACATGAAATAGAGCTCCATCGAGGACAAGCTTGGTGCTGCGTGATATGTAGTCTTTTAGATACCTCAAGCACGAGTCATTATATGAAGCATTGTCAACTGATACTGAGAACACTTTATCTTCGATCCCCCAAGCCTTCAAACATTTGAAAATGGCATTGGCTACATCAATTCCTCGCCTTGGAGCAGGCACCTTGACAAAGCTTAAAATCCTTTTCTGAAGCTTCCACCCAGAATCTATAAAATGACCAGTGATTACCATATATTCAATCACTTGATGACTGGATTTCCACATATCTGTTGTCAAGCTAATCTTGCTCACACTCTTTAATAATTCCTTCAATGCTTTTCTTTCTGCTTCATATATTGCTATGCAATCACTTCGTATCGTCTTACGAGAAACTTTCTGAAATTCAGGGTTCGCATACTGAAATGACCATATAAAAGCATCGTCTTCTACAATGCTAAAAGGATACTCATGTACCATAATAGAAGTGGCAATGACTTCCCTCATCTTTTCATTAGAAAATCTAAACCCCGGACTTATAAACGGATTACTTGAATTGGATGGCTTAAAAGGAATGACACATTGTTTCTTTTGTGAAGCCATTTGTACTGACCTCTGCAAACACCCTTCTGAATGTCTCTTTAGATGGCTTGTGCTCGCACCTCTTCCCCCAGTAGCAAATGCATTTTTACAGTATTTGCAAATAGCTTTCTTAACACCTTCAGCAACTTGAATTTCATCAAAGTCATTCCACACAATTGAAGTTTTTTTCCTTTTTTTCCTATTGGCACCTTCATTTGCTTGATTTGAATTCCTTTCGTCTTCATTTCTGTTATCATCCACAGGTTGGCTTGAAAGGGAATCCACTGATATACTATTGTGTGTATCAGATGGAAGATCAAAAATATTTGTTTCATCCATCGAAGCCATATCCTGCTTCAAAATAAATAAAAAAATTTATTTAATTAATGATATACATTATAAACAAAAATATCAGAAACTGTTCATTCTTGTAAATATATATCTTATATTTTTCTACAAAAATATAAAATTTTCATTTTAATCTAAATAATATAAAACACAAAAATAAAAATAACAAAACTATTTTAAAAAAATGACATTATAAAAAACAAAAAAAACGTCATAAAAAAATATATAAGATAAATAAAATATAACAAAAAACAAAAAATATATATATTGAAATTCATATCTAAATAAAAATAACGAAAAAAAACATATAAAAACGATATTTACCTTATTTTTCCAAATTCCACCGGTAGCAATAAAAAAGAAGAGGCGATGAAGACAGAAGAAGGAAAAAGAAAAGTAGTGGGTCTCTGTGAAGAAGATTGCAAAACCCTGGACGGCGTGGAGGTCTGGCAGCAGTTGCAGGCTTGCAGCGGTGGAAAAGGAATATGGACAGTTGTTGTTCAGTTTACAGCGGGATAATATTTGAATTATGATAAAAGAAACAAAAAAAGGAACATGTGTGCAGTAGTTGTTCATATTTGAAATTTTTTATTGGGATAAAAATTATTTTTATTTTTGTTTTTTTTTAATAAATTTATAATTAAAATTTTTTTTTTATATATCATTATTATATATAAAACTATTCTTATTTTATAATAATAAAAAATAATTTTATATAATAATAATATTATTATTAAACAGGCCGGCCTGTTTAGTAAATAGGCTTTTTCATAAGCCTAAGCCTATTCTGTATATATAAACAGGCTTTAACAAAAATCTGAACCTGGCCTTTCTAATAAATAGAACAGGCCAGGCCAGGCTTGATGTAGGCCAGGTCATAGGCCCCTGACAGGCCGCCTGGCCTATTTCCACCCCTATTGGCATGCAATGACACGTATTTTATGATTGACGAAAATTATATTTTATTTTAAAAGGTATAACATGACATATTTCACATTAGTTCTTAAAATGTATTTAATTCTAAACTGCTTTTAAGAAAAAATATTTGGTTCAGGTATGCATGGCACCTCCGGGACAGGGGACGTCTCGGGATATAGAAAGATGGGCTGAGTGGGTGAACTTACATCTATTGTATTATATGTAAATTTTTAACCGGAAAAACCTCTTGTTTAGGAGTGTGTTTTGTAAATATTCATAAATTAGATTTTTTATATATATAATAATGCGCTTTTATGGTTAATTTTAGCTTTAACATTGTATTGTGGAGCCCAAAGTAGGAGGTGACGACCTCATGATGTAGTGTAGCGGTAGCATTTCCAGTATGAGCCAACTGGGGATATTACATCTGCACTTCTCAAAGACCTTAAAAACAATAACCAAGCAAAACCTATTATTGTCTGTTGCAAAGTCAAACCCACCGACACTGGCTTGTTATAAAAGAAAATGTATACAACTAACAACATTGCTTGTTCCTAAGAAGATACATGCCAATATTCTAGAATTCAGAAATCCAAATATTGCTATATTCAATTTTCAGCCACATTTCTTATTCTTGGAATCATAATGACCGACACCAATTCTATGCACATGCCAAAAAGGGGAAATGATAGGGAAAAATAATCAGTATATAGCCTGGAACACAAAATCCATCGATTCTTAAAGGAAAGCAAAGCAACATGTGTAATGTTTAATCCAAATTTTTACCTTTGCCTGAACACCATTCACTCTCTGCGCATAAAGGAGGTCTATCAAATGGCTTCTTTTATCGGTCTCAAGAACATATTCAACTCTTTGCACAATCAAATTTCTACTTGAGCCAACTCTCAAAATAGCCAGAAACAGGTAGTTTGATAGAAAGTCTACCACCAGCCTCTGCATTTCAAGAAAAATATAAAGGCTATGCCACAAATCTACAAATACAATAAGACATCGAGAATGCATATTCAGAAAACTTTGCTTCAGAATAAAGTAAACCGTTATAAAAAAAAATGATACTAGAGAGTTTGAAAGTAAACATGTAATAGTGTAAACTAAAAGCAAATCGATTATTAGACCAAACATGGTCCTAGAAATATAATTTAATTCTCTAATTACGACCTCTATATTGTAAAGTCGTAGTTTCATTGTACATGCATATGTACTTTTGTGGTAAGTTGTCTATGAATTGTACCATGGAATATTATTATAAGTAAATTCGGAAGATTTACCAGATTGGGCTGAATATGAAACACTAATCAACCAGACTGCAACTGCCCCTACCATAATTCTCTCCATAGTAATTCTCACAAAGAAAGAATCACGCATCCATCCACTCACACCAATCAATCGTATCCGCCCATAAGAGTGATTTCAGTTCTCTGAAACAGAAAATCGAAATCATCAATGAAATTTTCATCTTCTCTGCTGAATCAAGGTTCTGGTATCAAGAGGTACCAGGCGACTTGAAGATCACCCAAAAATCAAGAAACCAGGCCTGGATGATCAAAATAAAACTCCAAAAACATTCACTTATACAAATTTCTAGTCGAGCAGAATCAAAGCTCTCGATGCCAAATCAACCAAGGCAAACAACCGAAATAGAATGAGAACCACCCCACCATCCAAAAGAACATTGATGGTATGAATCGATCAATCACACACCACCCAATAATTGATCAGATTTTGCAAGAAATGAATGAAGAAACTTTTGCAAATCAAGAATCCAAAATTGACCGGGGATAAGGCTTACCGATGGATGGAGGCAACGACAATGGTGATATGAGTCAGCGTCAGAAAGGTACAGGATTTCTGTGGTAGGGCGCGCCATTGCAGGACGCCGACGAAGATGAGCAGCGTCGTTGGTCATCGGACAACGGACACCACCGTCGTGGGTTGAGAATCAGGGCTTTCAAATCTGAATGGAAGATGGGATCCACATGTACGGCATGTTCATCTATATACTGGGAGAAAATCGGTCAACGAACCAAACCAATTCAATCAACCAAATTTTTACATAATATATTAATATATTGTAAGGGAACGGTTATGGTGCTAATTTAGAAAATTCAGCATAATATATATAAACAACATACCATCTTATTATACTTAAAACATGTCTGTTGGTTTATAATTATAAGTATGTTGTATAATAGTATGTATGTGGTGTGTTGAAATTAACTCTTATTTATGATGTATAAGACTATAGCATGTGTTGTTGGTTTAATGTGATGTATTTGTATTGTTGGTCATAATTACAAGTGTGTTGTATGACTGGTATGCTGAAATCAACTATTATTTGAGTTGTATAAGACTATAACATGTATTGTTAGTTCTTACTTTTATTTGTATTATATAAATGCATAAGATGTGTTGTCTCTAGTAACACTTGTATTGTGTGATAGCACAGTGTACTGTTGTAGATTGTCAGCATGATGCCATATTGTTAAGATTCAGCAGGGTAGCAGCCGCCGTATTGTTAATTATCTTTTTAATGAAATAGGCCATAAAGAAGAGAGAGAGAAAAAGAGGAAAGGATCAGATAAATAAATTTGTGATAGTTGTGCAACAAATTAATTAATTAATTTATTTATTTTAAAGAATATATTTTTATTGTCAAATTTTTTGGAATTTTAAATTCATGTATTATATAAAAAGAAATTTTCTATAAAATGATATCAATATGAATATATTTTTTTATATAATTAGTTTATTTTCAAAAATAAAAACATATGAATATATAAAAAAGTAATATATATATATATATATATATGGGGAAAATTTTGGATGCAACACCAAAACAATTTGGTCAATGATGTCCACTAAGTCATATATATATATATATACATATATAGAGAGAGAGAGAGAGGTATTCAAGATATATAAGATACAATGAAAGAATAGTTGATCATCTGCTTAATTTGATTAATAATGGATCCCATAATGTACCTAAGAAATAGGTTGAATTATATGAGAAGTCTATATTTAATGGTCAATGGTATATATCCATGGGGGTGGGGTTTGAATTGTTGTTTTTAGCTGTTTGTATCTACATTTTCAGTATTTATATATTTAATTTGTATAGTTATTTAAAAATAAGATAAAATATATTTTTGGTTTCTTCTACCCATTAACTTGTCAAATTTTATTTTTCTATTTTAAAGATGATAACTTTCATCTTTTATTCATTGAATTGGTTCAAAATTTTAAGCTTTATTAACTTATTTTAAAAAATTAATAAATATATTAATTATTCCCTCTATGACTGGTCATCTAAAAACTTTTTTATTTATCATTTAAAAATATGCTTATTTTTTAATAAAAAAATATACCATTTTTTTTTTATTTTTTAACATAAAAGATAAAATTATTCATATTAAAGAGTATTTGGAGAACATTTTTTTTAGCCTTATAGGAGTTTTTACCTATTTGATCAATTAAAAAATTAATTCAAATGTTTTGATAAATTGATTTTTTGAAATAATTTATTGGATTTAAAACGTTAATTTTTGAAACGTCATCTCAATGTTTCAAAATTATTTTTTCACTCTCTTTTTTCTTATTCTTTTTGCCCTTAAGAATTAAATATTTATTTCACTCTTATTACTATATTTTTAACAATATCTATTAATTATTTATTATATTTATTCTAAAGACTTATAAATTTAAAGTTATTGAAATTAATTTTTTTTTATATGTAACTTTTTTTTTTATTTCTAAATTTGTTAAAATAAAGGAAAAATAAAAATAAAAATATTATTAATTTATTTATATATATTTTTTATGACAAATTTTTTACTAAAGATGAATATATTAAAATAAATTTATTTAAAATTATAAATTTGATAAAAATTAAATTAATTAATAATACATATACTAATAATATGTTCTTTTATATTTACATTAATTTTAAAGAAAAAAAAGCTCATATTTTTTATTAACAATCTAATAATTTTCTTTAAAACTATTTTTAAGAAACAACAAAATAAAATATTTTAATAAAACTTTTATAATGTGCAACAACTAATAATCAAAATTCTAAAATATCTTATAGACTGAAATGATGCAATTAAATATTTTTAAACATATAAGATGTCCTTAATTATCATTTTATGTAAAAAAAAATTATTTTACAAAATATTTTCGCACAAACAATTAATACGTTCAGCTAGTCAAATAGTCTTAAAATTTATTTCCAAAATTCTTTTGATGATGGACGTAGTATTTAATTTTCATCCAAAACTATCATGTTTATCCATTATTTAAATTAATTTATATTTTCTTCTAATATCATGCAAATATATTTTTTTTTCAAACAAATTGTTTTAAAACAAAGCTTAAAAATCATTGGTTATAATAGCATAATTGTTTTTTTTTTTTTAAATAGCCGTAATTGTTATTTGTCTTAAATAAAGTATAAGAAAATGAAAGGTATACGGACACACGTCACTATTGGTCTCTCGTCATCATCATTGTTAATCAGTCCATTTCATCTTCATCTTGGTCACTGCCATGTACAAATACAGTAAGGGATCATGACTATTAACATGTACACGGCCGTGAAAAATAGAAGATGACCGTGTTTTTTTATTGAGTGGATGTTGATGGTCTAAACACAGGGGTGTGTTCAATTGTACACGACCGTGTAAAGTCCAAGTTAGTTGCCACGTCGATTCCGTATGTCTACGTCAGTATTTTCTATTAGTTTGATAATGATGACACTAAAATTGATTAAAATTTGTTATATTGGGACCAAAATTGATGAATTTTTTATATTTAGACCAAAATTATTGGAACCAAAATTGATTTTTTTCCAATTTTATATTTCACACATGGTTTGACCAGTAAGTCAAACGAAGTTTGCAGGCTATTAATTTCGACCGAAAATTTACCCAGAACACACTCAACTAATAGCTATTGCATATTGCGGATTCTCATGTTATAAAAAATAAATAAAAATTACATTATATTTATTACACCCATTCTATTTTATTATATTTATTACACCCATTCTATTTTAATAAAAAAGTTACATTACTATGAAATCTCAATTCTACCTTACAAAAATATCACATAAAACTATTATTTATATGTTATAACAACTTCAAATATGAAATAACCAATAAGTAAACACACAGCCCCAAAGTTTTCCTTAAAAAATGTGAGATAAGAAGACCTACCTATGTTAAGAGCAACATATTAGTCAATTGAATCGTACATTATTTATTACACAGATGGCAAAGTGAAGGCAGTCATTCAAGCAACCAAAACTTATCAAACTAATCCCAGCCTCAATCTTAAAAAGCCAATAAATACTACACAGACAGACATCCAAATCTTCTGCATCCTTGCACAACACAGAAGTCACATGATTTCATAGAAAACTCAATCCCGCATAAGACAGACAGACAGACAGACAGACGGACAGAGAGACGTGTATAAAAGCTAGATAAAAATGCACCTAACATGCTATGCTATTTAAGACTGACTCTACAATAGCAACAGTTTCCACTTATCTAGTTTATTTTACCTGTCCGCTAATGTAGGATAGGGAACACACTCAAAACGAACTAATAAACTTCAAATACAAAGTCTTGGATTTTTAAGTTGATATTCCATCACCGCATTAAGAGCTGGAATGCTTCGTTATGTGTTTCCAATTCATAGTAGTACCCGAGACTCTTTGCACGTTCCTTGAACTCACCCATGTCGGTCTCAGGAAGTTGTATGCCTACCAAAACATTTGCACCAGCTTCTCCCTAAAAAGGAGATTTGATGAGTTAAGTGCACAAGCATAATGAATGCATACGTAACAAAGCCGTTTACTTAACCAAGACAAGTTTTGGAGGATCACAACCTGTCCACGATAGTGAAACAAACTTATGTTCCAACGAGGACTCAAAGCATCCAAGAATTTCATCAAAGCACCAGGTCTCTCAGGGAAAGTGAAACGGTAAAGTACTTCATCTTTAACATTCGATCTTCCACCCATCTACAAAAGAATCCATTCACAAAGACTAAAACACCACACCAACTTCTCAAACCAACTATCGAGGATAAGCTTCAACCAAAGTGCAAAGTAACTAACATTATACTAATTGCAGTATCGATTCAATGCAATGCTAGCCTCAGCATGATCACTCAGGGAACATGCACACACATATCTTAATGCTCTAACAAATCACACATATAGCACAGCTTGATGGTGCAAATCAAACATCGCATTTTGCATTACAACAGTGGGCACAAGTTATAATATTGTCTGTTATAACCGCTCCAACTTAGAAAGCATTTTCAATTAAATTTATAATCAAGAGCAATTTAGGCTTACAAATACAGCTGCTGGCATTTCATTAATATGGTTGTACATTCAGTAATAACATAATTATTTTCTAAAAATAACGGGACATTATAAAATTCCCATTATATAGTCCTTCAGAAATATATTCCCACCCCAAAGGAAATAAATAATAGATAAAGAAAGAACTTTAGAAACATTTCTAACATCACTATGTCTTCATTAGATGTCACAGATTCTCCCCTCTACTGATTTATCAAGGGCCATTTAGACTTGCAAATACAACTGCTGACATTTCATTAGCATGGCTGTACATTCAGAACGCATAATTATTTTCTAATAATAACGAGAGATTATAAAATTCCCGTATATACAGTCTTAAAGAAATAAATATTCCCCCCCCTCCCCCCAACACATACAAAAGAAAGGATTTCATAAACATTTCTTATATCGACATGTCTTCATTAGATATCATAGATGCCCTCTAGTAAAATTTCAAATACAGCTTCTGACATTTCGTTAACATGGCTATATTCAGAATTACATAATTATTTTCTAAAAATAATGCAACACTCTAAACTTCCATAGAGAGAGAGAGAGAGAGAGTCGTAAAGAAGGGACTTAATAAACATTTCTAATATTGACATGTCTTCATTAGATGTCATATGTGTCCCTCTCTGCATGTATTGTCTGAGCACTTCCAGCTATTGTAGACCAGCTATTTTCACTTCCCATATTGTGTATAACTTAACTTGATAAACTCACAATACATTATTTCCTTAAAAGTAAAATATAATAAACAACTCTCTTCAAAGGATGGAACACATTTTACAAGTAATTCATCAAGAATGAAAATACATTACCAAATGTCTCAAATGATCTTTGACCAAGTCGTTTTTCGTAAGATCAATGGTATCTAGCTGAGCTGATTTCATTCTCCCAACCATTGCTTCAAGTTCTATTTCTGTGTGGAGACCGACACTATTTGAAAGATGTAAGAGAACGAATTATTTTGACACAATTATAATTATGAAGCCACATGTTATAGAAAGACAACAAACATAGGTAGGCATTTGTAGAAATGATCACAATTATTTCTACTATATTCCTTGCCTGTATAGTACTAAAGCTTTTTCTTTATCGGGCTTATATCTGTATTTGAATTCAGTAATGTTCATAGGCCCAACCTGCAACCGAGCATGAGCGAGCATATAAATTTGGAGCATGTCAATTGTACAAGGAGATATAAAGAGGCAAGATAAAGCGAAAAGCTTACTTGCTCACAAAATTGCTTAAAGCTTCCAGGCTCCTCCGGCATGTAAGTTGCAAGTACAGCTTCTCTCCGTCGACCAACATCTGCAAGTTCAGTTACCAATCTCAATCTGTCAAAGTTCATATTCGCTCCACTAGTCACTGCCACAACATTTGCACCCTTGAGCCCATAGTATTTACAGTAAGCTTCAGCCCCAGCTAGGGCAAGAGCTCCTGCTGGTTCTAAAATGCTCCGTTTCTCCTCAAACATGTCCTGTGGCAAGTTAATTCCTTTGTATTAAGTTCGGAAATTTAATAAGCAAATGCTAGAATAGTTGCAATAAGAATTGGAAGTTACTTGAAAATCAGAATCGGAAACAATGAAATAATATTGGCTAAATACCAATATTGCTGATATGTTCCTAAACCCAAATGAAATACAGCTAGGCAAAAGATTTGGACTCATTGCAAATAAAACTAGCATTCCAACCCGCTCTTAGATAAGAAAGAAATAAGACATTCATAGCATTTAAATATGAAAGCAACATATTGTATCCAACTTCAGGCGGACACTTAAATCAATTGAAAAATACTAAGAATAGGATCTAGTATCTAAAGGACCTGTAATCATGTTTGATAAAGTTACCTCCAGATAGTTCACCATATGGGTCACTAGATAACATTTATACCAACATCCAACTTAGTGTTGTATGAAACAAAAAGACATCCAATTTGCTTAAACAAGTAACACAACACAACACTATCACATAACTCTTTATTATTAAAAAATAAAAATATAGCTCAACACAAGCATCAATGAGAAATGGGACAAAGGAAATGCCAAAAGCAAAAGACCTTTATCGATGCACAAATAGCATCACGGCTAACAAGAACCACACCATCAACCAGTTCCCTGCAAAGACGAAATGTCTCTTCACCGACCACTTTGACTGCTACTCCATCAGTAAAACCTCCCACTTGGTCCAGCATAATTCTCTGATCATGGTGCAGTGACAAAGCCATTGCATTTGCATCAAATGGCTCCACCCCAATTATTTTCACCTCTGGAGAGACCCTTTTAACATAGGCAGCAATGCCAGCTATGAGCCCACCACCACCAACCGGCACAAATATTGCCTCCAACGGGCCCTTCATTTGTTTCACAATCTCCATTCCAACAGTGGCCTGCCCAATTATTATATCAGGGTGATCAAACGGAGGTATAAACATCCGACCCTCCTCTTCTGCTCTCTTTTTCGCATAAGCTTGAGCTTCATCATACGAATCCCCTATGAGCACAACAGTAGCACCCAGTCTTTCAACCGATCTCCACTATCAGTATCAAGCCAAACAGCTCATTAAACTGTGAAAATTCCCAGAGTCCAAAAACATCAACAGAAACAATAAATATAATAGCATAAAGCAGCAACCTTTATCTCTGGTGTGGTCACAGGCATAACAATCACTGCACTGCAACCCAACCTTTGCGCAGATAACGCCACTCCTTGAGCATGGTTTCCGGCTGATGAGCATATAACACCTCTCTCCAGCACCTCCTCAGGGAGTTTCGACATCATATTGTAAGCGCCTCGAAGCTTGAACGAGAAAACCTGCAAAAGAAAACTGTTTGTATAATAAAGTGTTTTACATGTTCTGATTAATTTCTGTATACCAAATCATAAAATCTTCAACATATTAGTGTCTTCGACATATGAGGTGTGTTTTACATATTTCAAATTCTTGGGCAAAATAGATTTTATCCCTAAAACACATCAAATCCAACACTAGCTTTCAATAAAATAATATCACATTCAAAACCCATTTTCTATTCGAAAGTTCGCATCAAACATCTGCTTTTCATTTAAAAACATAATATTTGATGCTATTACCATAATAACACGACCCAAAGACCCAACAACTCAAACAAACAAAAAATGTCTACAGTTTTTCACTCGCATTTCTCAAACATGCATATAGCTAGTTAATGTTTCAAATTTCCTCATAATCGAATTGTTTGAAATTGAGGACGGAGAAACCGAGCTTGAATTGGCGTACAGCGATGAATTCATAATCAAGGCAAATAAGGGGGAAGCATACAGCAAACGAAAGTGAAGAATTGAAGTGAGTTTCTTACAGGCTGAAGATCCTCTCTCTTGAGCGAGACATGGACTCCCCATCTCTCAGAGAGCTTCGTGGCCGACTCCAATGGCGTCTCATACGCCACGTCATACACCTTAGAGGCCAGAGTACTTGTCAAATACTCCATCGCATCCAGCGAACCGTTGCTCGCACTACCTTTACCCAAATTCTCATTCGGCAGCAAACGCCCACTCTCCCACTGGAAAAGAGAAGACGGAGAAACTTGCAACAACGGCACCGATGGATGCGCCGGGGACCTCTTCTCGAACGATGGCAAAATTTCCGTTCCGGATTTCGACAGCGTAGCGTGGATCAGCGTATTCCGGCGTGGGAAGCAGCACTTAACAGCATCGGCGGCGATTATGTTGGTTGAAGAATTGGCGCGAGTGAGGGGTGATTGCGCAGGGGAGAAACAAAGGGATTCCATAACTGGAATTCTGGTGAAGAAATGAAGCCAGGGTCAAGATCAACGGCGTGCGGGCTCAATTTAAACGCAAGGCACGCCGCCAGGATTCTGCAATAATTTCGACCGACGAGACGAGTTGGAATTCCGACGCCGCAGCCTCTACTCTTCTGACTCTATTAAAGAACAGAAAAATGAGCTCTATTCTTCGGTTCTGGTATAAAAATATTTTAGTCCCATTGAATTGAATTGTAAATTCGAGGTCTTTTTGTTGTTGTTGTGTAACAGTTTGAAGCTAATTTTTTTTATTTTTTGTTTAATCTATTTGATGGACAAGGAATTACACGGTAAATATAAAAATAATAAATATATATAATATATTAATTATTTTTAAAAAATATGTGTTTATTTATTTATTCTTTTACAAAACAAACAAATGCGTTGCGAACCTTTTTTTATATATATAATATTTTTTTACTTAAAATTTATTATTTTTTGAATTTTGTTTCAGTGGTTTGATTTAATATTTTATTTTATGTGAAATATATATAGGTTTTTAAGTAATATGAAAAAGTATTTTATATTTAGTCTTAATTTTTTATTAAATAATAAAAAATATATTATATTTCTTCTGTTTCACATTGGATGTCGGCCTTACTGTAGATATGACAATGTATAATTAACAGGTAAATATATTATCTTATAATATAAATAATTATAAATTAAAATTAAAACAACTAATTAGTTTAAATTGACATTAAGGTGTGTAATATTTTCTTAAAAAAAAATGACACGAAATGTGAGATCGGATAGAACATGTTAGGTGAGACGGAGGGAGTGTATATTGAAAATATTTCAAATTAAAAAAAAAATAGTTGTCTTCCACTTAAGTCCCTTTGACTAAATTAATTTTTACATAACTCTCCATTATTAATTTTTTTTCTATGAACTTCTCATTTCAAATTACCTATTTCTTTCCATTTTTATTTTTATTAAAAGGACTTAAATACACCTCCTATTTAAAAAGACAGATATATCCTTAATATACAAAATTTTAAAAAATATAGAAAAACAAAAAATCTCACCGTTTGAATTGTATCTTCTATACAAACGATCTTCGCCACAGAGTACTACAAAAAACTTAGAGTTTAGTGAGGGAATTATTCCCTCGCTAAAAGATAAAATCCCTTACAAAACTTGATTTGTAAAGGAATTTTTAAGGCAAAACAAGCCTATGCAAATCCTTTTGTTGCAACACTTTGCGATGTTTTTCTGTATATCGCAAAATTATAGCAAGGGATTTTAGTGAGGAATTTTTCTAGGGATTAATTACAATTTATTTAGTGGTTATAGAGGATTAAATTCTTTGCTAATTTCCTCGCTAAAATCCTTCACTAATTCTCTTTCTAATTCCCACGTTAAATCATTCACTAATTTCCTTGCTAATTCCCTTACTAAATCCCTCACTAATTTCATTGATAATTTCCTCAATAAATCCCTCGCCAATTCCGTTCTTAATTCCCTCGGTAAATCCTTGCTAGAATCCCCTGCTAGTTTTCTCGTTAAATCTGTCACCAATTCTCTTTTTAAATCCCTTGCAAAATTCCTCATTAATTCATTCTACCAATTACAATCAAATTACAGTAAAATAATTTCGATCAAAAAAATTCAATTAATTTGATTCCAAATAAATTACATTTAATCTATTTCAGCTAATTATTTAAAATAGATTATTTTAAAATCAATGTCAGCAATTTCAAATAAATTACAAAAATAAATTAAATTAAACCTATTTCAACAAATTCAAAATTTAAAAAATCAAATTAAACCAATTTCAATCAAAATACATATCAATTTCAACATATTCCAAACAAAAAACATTAAATCAATATATTTCAACAAATTTCCAGCAAATTATATTCAAGAATTTCAACTTATTCCAAAAAAATCACATTCAACTAATATCAATCAATTACAAACAAATTATATTTAACCATATCAACCAATTTAAAACAAAATATAATTAAATAAAGCCAATTCCAAACAAATTATATTTAATCTATTTCAACCAATTCCGAAGAAATTATATTCAAGCAATATCAACCAATTCCAAGCAAATTAAATTTAATTCTAAAAACTAAACTATTAACAATTATATAGACAATCATGTTCCACAAGAATAAAGATTCAACAATGTAATCAATTATTGTTTTAATAAACTAAACATTACAGTATTTAATGTGTCTACAAAAAAAAAATTTAAACATCAATATACCTAACGCATCCATAACCCATAAGAGTATTTATTATGTCTCTTAAAACAAAATATAAACATCAATATACCTAATGCATCCATAACCGATAAGAGTATTTGATATGTCTCCCAAAACAAAATATAAGCATCAATATACCTAATGCATCTATAACCGATAAAAGTATTTAATGTCTCCCAAAAAAAATATAAAATTCAATATATCTAATGCATCCATAACCAATAAGAGTATTTAATGTCTCCCAAAACAAAATATAAACATTAATATACCTAATGCATCCATCACCGATAAGAGCAACGCATGCATCAAGAATCAAACAATGTAATCAATAATTGTTTCAATAAAATAATTATAATAGTATTAATATGTGTACCAAAATAAAATATAAGCATCAATATACAAAATACATACATATGATAGAAAAAGCACCTGCATCAAGAATCAAACATAGATGCATCTAGCTGAGGTTTACTACAATTTTCTTTATACGCAGCATGATCCAATGTAGCAAATAACACTACTTCTAACAAGGGATGATAAAATGCATACACTAAACTTGTTCAAGTAATCTTGATATGTGGTTGTATGATGCTCCTCTAATTTAGTACATATATATATAATAAATGAAAACATATATACCTATTTGCCATCTGATTCTGATGTAGGTACCAGTACATCTGGTAACCTGAGGTGTTGTCCACTGAAATAAAGGGAACCAACCCCTGCAAAAAAGTTAGGATGTTGGATTAAACAAATTCAAGATATATAAAGTCAATCCTTTAAGTTATCCTTACTTACCTGGCACTGCACCTCCACAACATTACAGTTGAGAATCTCACAAGCAGCCACAACATCCTAAGATGGAATTTAAAAGAGAAGTCACGTTCAAATGTATAAGCTATATGTGCAATCATCGGCCAATCTATCAAGAATCAAATCATAATAGTATTTAATATATGTACCAAAGCAAAATACCAATATCAATATACCAAATACATACATCATGCGATAGGAGCACCTGCATCACCGTTAGGGCCACGGTGGTTGAAGTCTGCTCGTAACCTACGGAGCTCCAGCATAATGCTGAGGTTTTGATTGACGATGGTTTGGTGGATTTGTTCAATACTCTCCACCCGATCATCCATATGGTGAACATAATCATCAATATTCTGAAGTCGATCATTGCATTTAGTTTCCATTTGTTGGAGGCGCTGATCAATGTCTACAGTGGCTGAAGAATAAGCATCGCTCATGAAAGACGATCGATTAATGGGCACTGTACTCGCTAAAGACCCGAGCCCGAATATCCGATTTTTTTTATCCCGTGGAACCAATTTTAGAAACACCCTGTCCATATCAACCCCGGTAGTGCCTTGTTGTGTCAGGACCCCCACAATGGCATCCAAATCCTTCTGGAATTATCAACAACTAATGTAATAAATATTAACTGAAAATAAAATGTGTCATTTATATTATATTGTGATATATTTAGTTTATAGATAACATACAACAATCTTAGATGCTTTCGGATTTACATATTCAATCCGGTTGTGTTTCTTCGTATGGGCCCAAGTATACATTTCAGTCATATTCAATCCATGCATTAGAATTGAGAATATAAAATGATTGTTTATGACTCAATATTTATTTTAATGTTATAGAATTACATACCATCTTCTTGGCCATCTCATAAAACGACTGAGACCCTCCTGTATGCGTAGCCTCAGGTGTAATATCTGGAAGATCCCGCCGCCTATTTTTCTTTGCAATCGCCGATTTCTTTTTGGCATCATTAGAGCTCCAAACCCTTCTCCATTCAGCCAAGACCTCCGGGTTGAGAACTTCGTCGGCCTTTTTGTCTTTTCCATGCCGGATGCCATGCAACCACTGGTTGTATGCATTTTGGGCCTTTTTTTTGTACACACATTGGACTTTCTTCTCATTAGTGGAGTCCCACATAACATGCTTCTGTAAAAACATTATATAACGAATTAGTAAATATAAATTAAATATATATGTAATATTTATTATTAAACCAAATATTTTACCTTCATTTCCTCTGCATACCACTGTTTGATGTTTGGCGGAACTTTCATCCAAGTAGTACCTTGACGATGGATGGATGAACGAAAGATATCCCGGAACTCCTTTGAGGCTTCTCGAGGCCACAGGACACTGCAATAATTGAATGTTAAATGTTTTACACTTAAACATATGAATTTGACATGTATACCTTCCATTTGACTCTACATTGATCTTAATGTGGTTATCAGTGATAGGCGCTATCGTTGGAGTTGATCCTACAATTGGTATCAAATTATTATAAAATAAACAAATATAAAATAAATATTATTTATATACTAAACTGAAGCTACAATGGATCCATATGAATTCGTAGAAGACGATGCACATGTACGAATTGTAAGTAGTATGATAATTCTCTATTTTATATTAATATGAATAAAGACAAGTTCTTGCCAAATTACCGCCATGATTGGTCGGGTGCACCTCATCCGTATGTCCTATTTGTTGCCCTCGTCCTCTCTCTTGTCTCCCCTCAACATAAGCTCGGACAACCTCTGATATCTGTTGGTCAATCTCCTCATCTAATTGATCCCGAGACATCTGCATTTTAAAAGAAAAAAAAATTTATTGATTGATTTATACCTTATAATAAAAATTATAACTTTATTAAATACAATAAAATTATTAAAATCTGCACTGTATTGACCTATTCATATGAAAAATCATCTTCATCGCTAGTCTCCTCCATGTAGTTACTCTCAAAGTCAGATGTTTCAAGATAAACCTCTTCATCGGTGTCAGATAGATCTGAATCCTCCAATGGTATTCCCCCAACACCTTCAAGAGACACTAAATTCAAATTATATCCAGTAGTAACCCCTTCAATGGCACACGGCTCAACCATTGCATCT